TGGGCCCAGGATCCGCTGCGAGGACAGCGCTGGACCAGGCAGTGTTTGTGACTCTGGACCGACCCCACAGCACCTAGCAACAGCCACAGCACCAGCCACGGATCAGTGGGCCTTGACCGATGCCCAGTAACGTAAGCATGCCCGGATCCCAAGTGCACCTGTCCCTCCAGCTGTGTGTCCTGACTGGACAGGCTGGCCCAGTCCCTCTGGGTGGGAGTGGGTTTGGGGACCCCCAGCCATGGCTCTCTGACAGGTCAGACTGGGAGGCGGGGTGGTGGGGGCGGGCAGGCACTTACTGCTGTGGGCGGCGGCGGCAGCGGGGGTTCGTGGGGACGTGAACTGAAGCGTGGCCTTGGCGCTCTTGAGGCGGGTCTGCCCCCAGTAGGAGATGGCCTGCAGCTCCACCGTGTAGCTGCAGCCTGGCTGCAGCTGCTCCAGGCTCAGCGATCGCCGGGGCTGTAAGCACAGAGGCCGTGAGCCCGTCGCTGCATGGCTGCCCGGCCCTCACCTGTGGGCATGCCAGAGCAGCCCCTCCAGCCGGCGGGCAGGCACCAGCCTTTTCCAGGACAAGAAGCATGGCCACAGCTAAGGTGTGGATGCTCGCTCGCTGCCAGAAGGCACGCACCTCGATGTCCTCCTGTCGGGTGGCATCGAGTGGACTCCGGCCTGTAGCAAGCCCACGTACGACAGAGCAGCACCTGGCCCAGCCCCGCACCCTCCTCACAACTGTCCCCACGCCGGACGGACGGAGCCCATGGCTGCAGCCACTGTGCCATCTGCCTCCTCGAGGGCCCGCCTCTTTCTCTGACCCTGCACTTGACCGCCAGCCGTGTCCCCTCCAGGGACTGGGGGCCAGGGGACCAGACCGTGCAGTGCAGTGGGCTAACCTGATGCACAAAACCCCTTGAAGGGGTCGCCGAGCCAGGAGGTCACTTTGGGGACTGAGGTGTGCCTGACCGGAGCCATGGTCTTCCCCACAGCCCGCAGTGCATGGGACAGCTGACGCTGAACAAGGAGGACCCGAGAAGATCCGGTGCATTTGCACCATGGTGCAGGTGGAGGATACTGAGCGCCCATGGGCTGCCAAGGAACACACAGGTGTGTCTGGGAAGAGGTGCAGCCTGAGAGCTCCTTAGAGGCCAGGAGCTCTCACGTACTGTGGGCATGTTGTGGACAGTCTCACGTACGTGTGTGGACGGTCTCACGTACGTGTGGATGGTCTCACGTATTGTGGACGTGTTGTGGACGGTCTCACGTACGCGTGTGGATGGTCTCACGTACTGTGGACGTGTTGTGGACGGTCTCACATACGTGTGTGGACGGTCTCACGTACGTGTG